GGGGAACGTTTGTTCACCAGAGTGCCCCAAGGGATGACGGGGTCGAATGGTTATAAACTACTGCAAGACCGATTCAGGCTGGATGTAAGGAAGACTTTCTTTATTGTCTGAGCCCCAAGGTCTGGAATAGCCTGCCATTGGAGGTGGTTCAAGCACCGACACTGAACGCCTTCAAGAGAAATTTGGATGCTTATCTTGCTGGGATCCTATGACCCCAGCTGACTTCCTACCCCTTGGGCAGGGGGCTAGACTCGATCTTCCGAGGTCCCTTCCAGCCCTAATGTCTATGAAACCTATCGTTTTGTACTGAGCACTTGTGACATGAGTAAACCCAAAAAAACCCAAAAAACATGCCCATGAAGCTGCCAGTGCACACCAAAGACGAACTGTGTTCTGTCAATGTTTTTTTGTGGGTGGAAGGTATGCCACCTGGTGAAATTAAATGTAGGATTGTTGCACAATACAGTAAGAACTATGGCTCAATGGAAAGTTTAAGTGGGTGGAGATGTTCCAAGACAGCAGTGGATGAATGTCTGCAGTGGATGAACTCCAGTGCAACTATGATGGAGGACATTATCAAGGTCAATGCTGCTGTGCATGCAAACATGTGACTACACATTCCTGAACTAGTGGAAGAAGCAGGAATAAGCACTGGCACTATCTATACTGTTTTGCAAGATAACCTGAAGTACCAGAAAGTGTGTGCCCATTGGGTGCCAAAGCATAAGCAATGTTTGGAAAGGGGCCAGGCGAAGGTGGGTGGCAAGTGGTGACCACCCACAGGGACCACCGGCAGCGTTGGTGGTGCTTTCAGGGGGAACACCCCCTACGCATTGCCAATGACCTGACCTGAAGTGGGGTTGGGCTTAGGGAGTGTAAAAAAAAAAAAACACAACCCAAACAAAACAGAAAAACCCAGGACTTGAACAAAAGCAGGCTGGCCCAGCTAGCAGAGGGGCAGGAGCTCTGCCCAAAAACAGACGCTGGTGGAGTGGCTGCTCAGGAATGTTTCACCCTGAGGACTGTAAGACACAAGGAAAAAAGCTTCCCACCCAAGTGGAGGGAGAAAAGTATCAACTGCTTGCAATGAAGCCTTCAACTAAAGGGGGTTGAGAACTTACTTATTCAACTAGTAGGCTCACAGTTAAGTTTATCCAGGTGCTTATGTTTTAGTTATGGCTATTACTGGTGGACCAAGTTGGGACTAAAAAGGGGTATTTGGAGGTGCCAGAGTGGCACATGCTGTTTGAATTTATGGGGAGCAGGCAGAGTTTGCAAGTTAGCTCTGAGAGGCAGGGACCAGAGTCAGAGACCCAGCAGCCCCAAGAGTGAGAACAGGGCCAGAGATCCAGAGACTCCAACTAACAACAGGTCTGGAGCCCAGAAACCATACCCAGGGCAGTGGGTCTAGGCCAGAGCAGTGGGGCAGAAGCTGAGAAGTCCCAACAAGGAACAGTGGGGCTGACAGTAGTCTGAGATAAGACTAGGCCTGGGGGTCCCACTGATGTGACAAAGTGGCAACATCTGCAAGGCATAAGCCTGGTTAAAGCGGAGGTCACAGACCACTGATAAAGTCCACCAGGCAGTGTGAGAATTGTGGGGCAGCTAGGCTGCAATCTGTGGTACTTCAGATGACACGAGCCATTTTCAGACAGATTCCCAAAAGACCAAAGTCATGACAGGTGAGTAAGGGAGGGGGTTCCCAGGAACCAGGTCCACAGATGCCAGACAGTCAATAAGGGGTGCCAATATGCCTCTTGACCATCCCCTGTGACATGACACAGGTCTTTGAAATTTTACCACATCCACTCTATAGTCCCAATACTGCACTGTGATGCAGAGGTGCAATCTACAGTGCTGGAGTGGCTGTCACAGCAACCAAAAAACTTCTTTGGAGACACTGTATCAAGAAACGTGCGTCTCACTGGAAAACCAGTGTTGTAAAGTAGGGCAACTATGTAGAGAAGTTGTGTCCAGTAAGCGATCATTACACACACAATGGTTTTATTTCGAAATTGCTGTTACTGCAGTTTTTGAAATACCCACCTATTTAAATGAGGAAGCCAATTAATATGAATGTTTACATTTAAAAAGTTACTTAACTTAAATCTAGCAAGAGACAACTCCACAGAAAGGGAGGAAGGAGAGAAGCTCTGAATAAAGGCTAATTTGAACTTTCCAAGCTTAGATGAGAGAAGTAGAGGGGATGCAATGAGGTTTGAGGGGTTGAGCATCTCTTATTTAAAAGCGGATCAAATGTCATTTGGCAGAATGAAGCAGAATAGTTCTCCAATCCCTTGATCAAGACAAAGTAGACCGAAAGGTATCAAAAACACTGAAAAATAGCTTTCAGCTGTGTAAAAGTAGTAATGAAGGTGGAGATGAGAGACCAGAGAGAAAAAATAGAATTAAGGAACTTAAAATTTGAACACAGAGACTCTTTAAAGGAACCATCCCCACTTACAATGAGAAATCTGATAGACAAGACCATGGCATGAGGGAAACAGGCTCATCATAACACTGGAGATGACTCAAATGATACTGGAATTGCTCTAGTGTTTCATTTTACAAAAGGGTAATATTTAGTCAGGTAAAATCCACTGACTCTTCACTGTGTATTATGCATGCAGAGTTACATTAGTAAATGTTTTCCTAAGTTTAAAATTCTACAGGAGAAGAATTTTTTTTAAGTTGTCTTCTAAAACATCCCTCAAAGTGCCTGACCCTGATGGAAAAACTAGTAGTTCTAGCATTTCTTGTACATTTCTGATAACAATCTCTCAACATCCATTCTGTTCTTTGGAAACAAGTTCACACATCTTCCTGAAGATGGACATCTCTGGCTCTTCCAAAGTCTCTCATACACAGTTTGCTTGAACTCATCAACCTGAGCATTTACAATAAGTTTCACAGAACTTTTTCAAGTTAGTCCCATTTTGAAAGCTCAAAGAAACGCAGGATTTTTAGGAGCTCTAGCTGTGAATCCTCTAGGATCCTCTCCCGAACCTCGCATTATAAAAACCCTATGGGATGCAATACTATGCTCTTTCCATGACATGAAGGCAACAGTCTCCTTTGCACTGTTCCCTATAAAGTATGTACCACATCTTTTAAAAAATTGGAAACCTAAACAAATGTTTTCTCTAACTTTAAGTCATTACCTTCGCCGCCTTTGAAGGTATATATGCACCAACCACTGAGCAATGAAGGGCCATACAATTGCAAAGGTTAAAGTACCAGGAGAAATTTCAAAGGGCCACCATGATGGTCTCTAAGTAAAACAAAATATAAACCATGGTTACCATCTTTTACCAGCATACTGAATGCCAATACAACATTCCTTTTTAGTATACTTAAATAGTATGGTCTACTACTACTCCTCTGCTAGTATTTTCTACTACTAACTATTTTGCCAAGTTTGCTTAAGGCTCATGAGCAGCTGAACCTCAATATAGATTTCCCTCGATTACTGCAGTACATGCGCTCCTGGAGAACAGCACATAAACTGAATTTGCAAAAAGCAAACCTAGTTTACAATGGAACAGAAAGGGATACATTCCCATGGCAGTGAGGGCGGGAGGAAGGCTGGGACTTGGGGAGGGGTGCAGCACAGCCTGTCAGCAGCTCCTGGGACTACAGCAGGCAACAAAGCAGCAGGAACTGAGTGGGTGCAGGGTGGAGGGGCATGGTGGGAAGACACAGCTCTTGCTGCTACACACTCCCCGGGAGGGTTTCAGGCTGCACTGGGTTCTTCCAAGGAGGGGTGTGGGCCCCCAGATCTGTGCACAGGATGGCAGCAGGCTGCTGCTGCAGACTGAGGCTGGCAGTGCCACCGGGCTCTCCCTGGCACCTGGCAGGCAGATTGGGGGGGGGGTGCTACAGTGGATTTTGGGGTGGCAGCAGCACCCCCTCCCAGCACTGCTGCCTTGTTCCTGGAAGCAAGGCTGGGGCCGCTGGCGGCACCGGGCTCTTCCCAACACTCCAGGCAGGTGGCAGCAGCACTGGGAGGTGGGCTGCTGCCACCCCAAAATTCACTGTACCCTCCACAACCTGCCCAACAGCTGCCCAGTGGTGCTGCCAGCCCCAGTCTGCAGTGGCAGCCTACTGTTGTCCCATGCATAGATCCACGGCTCAGCCCCAGGAAGAGCCTGGTGCAGCCCGCCAGCCCACAACCCTCCCAGGAGGCACGCAACAGCAAGAGCCATGCCCTCCACCCCCCAACCCACCCCACTCTGCACCTGCTCACAGTTCCCACTGCCTGCTGCAACTCAAGGCCTCCACTTCTCCCTGCTCACCCCAGTCCCTGCTGCAGCAGCCACAGGAACAGCCAATGCCAGCTGCCTGTAGCTGCTGGGCTGCACT